TAACAAATTCAACATGCCAGCATTGTTTAAGTATATGTATAGCCTAAACATCCTTAATCATAATCTGTAAGGCTTAGTAAGAGTCCATCTTCAGATTGCGGTATCTCCAGACAGGCGCAATTGCCTATATTGATCGCGTACGAAACAATAGTGATCAAATGTGTTCTCATGGATTCGTGACGAATTTTTCAGTATGAATTGATCCAATACGATGGAATTTGGCTGTCACACGCGGAGCAGTACCGATGGCTCCAGGTGGACTATCAGATCGGCGTGTTTATCTCAAGATCGTCTGTGAACCTCGTTACGATTAACAAAATCTGGATAATGGCTGTTCTACAGGTATTTTCTTTCGTCCGTATGGCATTCAAATGGAAACTTATAAATTGATAATGAAATCGTGGCCCTTATCAAGTTCTAATCGCAAAATACATATTTGTTTCAGTTTGTCAATGTTATAATTCTGTTGTTCGAGACGTTGTTCTATTACATGCCGAGTATTTGGATCGTGTTCGCGCTTGTTTTGTGGGAAGGCCTCCTTGGTGGCGGAGCGTACGTGAATACATTCTATCGAATGTCCACGGAGGTAACTATTTATTCATTTTGACAAATTACTATGCACGCGAGCTTCTATTCATACGACCTAAAAAGACGAACGTTATTACATTAGCTCGAATATCATTAATGTAATTTTGTATGCGCAGATCCCAAGGGCGGACCGGAAAATTTCTTTAGGAATCGCCACGATGGCCGATTCGATCGGGATCGCGTTGGCAGGCTGGTTGTCAATGCCGGTTCACAACGCTATTTGCAGATTGCCACAACCGCATCGAGTTGGCAGCTAGGAACGACAAATAGAAAATAGTATTTTTGTTTCGACGATCATCCGATATAAGTGTATTATTTATTACCAAATTCTCTTTGATAAGTCGTCCACGGTCTTGATAACGCTGACAATAGCGTCGGCTCGTCTGTCATGATTTCTAGCCAGTATAGTAACAGTTATTATAGCGATGTGCAATTGATACTGTGGCAATTGAGCTTGATACCTCGTTTGTGTTGACTTCGGTGCTACGCGAGTACCTATTGAAACGTTGTTAGTAAAAATGGAACAGGGAAATAGTGATCGATGACTGCGGAGTTCTCGACTTTCCGTTGAACTCGAGCTATAAATGGTGCTGGGAACTTGCGGATTGCATGCTGTCGAAACAGACATGTTCCTGAACCAGAAGAATTTAAACTCGCTAGGCTCTAAGCTCTGATCGTCCTGAGATTTATTTGGTACAAATATTTAAGAGACTAGGAACGGGAACTATTTTACAAACAGATTGCGTTCCGCTGTGCGTTGCTTCAAAAGAGAAACAAAACAAACTCGGAAGTACACGCTATCGACAAAAATTTTTTTTAAAATAAAAATTGCGTCGCGGCTGAGGCATTTCTGTCTCGACCTAAGTCTTTACGTGCACGTATGTACGTAACCGGGATTTGTATTGACACAAGTTCTCTGGCTATGATTGCACGTATACATGCGTTCGACGATAACTTCTTTAGTTGATAAGTTTGTACTATATTATTCATTCAATGATGAGAACGGCACCAGTATTTTTTTTAGTGAGCGCGTCGTAGTTGTATTTTATGAACGCAAAAAAGGGAGTTCGGTTTACGGCACTTTTCTTCTTTTTGCACATTATGCAAATGCACGCTCGTGCCTTGTAGAAGTAACGTTTTGAAGCCGCCGGTGACAAGGATACGTCTTTTATTACAATAGAAAACACCATGTTCACAATTGCCCATGCCGTAGTGATAACAATGCGTTTTTCTATGTAAGTTTCTTAGAGAGAGAAAAATCATTGTGCGTGCTTTTTGATACCAATTTTTGTTACCCGTAAAAGAAGAAAATAATGCATCGATCTTTATATTTCAAGCAAAATGCCAAACATTCCTCGTCAAAATCACAATTGGAACATGCGCAATTATTAATTAGAATAATCGAGTTAGGAGAATAAGGAGGACCGGAAATTTTCGCGAACGTTTAATCGTCTCCGTGAGAGAAAAGTAATTCGATTTTTCGTTTTCTAATAAAATAATTCGCCTTTTCCTAAATACGTCTTGTATATGTGATATACCGATAATACTGCTTCCTACATTTATTGAAATATAAATATATTTATACTCGAAATATTATATTGTTTATATGTTTCACATATATTTGTCGTCGTGGAATTGAAACTGCCCGTTACGTGTCGCGGGGTTCACGATTCCCTCAATTTTAGTTTCTTGTATTTTATTTTTCGTTCTTTTGTTTTTATTAAAGAAAAAAACAACGAATAGTGGAGATGCGTGGAATACAAACGAAAATTGGAATTGAATTGTTTAAAATATTGTAATATTTTGTTGTGAGTAATAAAATTTTTAAATAAACGACAAAATCTTTCAGTTATTCCTGAGAAGGACATTAAATAAATGGATAAAGAGTGTACCTTTAATAAAGTACTTATTTGAACTTTTAAATAACTTACAGGATTCAGAAATATTGTAACCGTACAATTTCACTTAAACCTGTTTCATTATACAATAACTAAGTACAATAAATGTTACAAACTATAAGTATAATCTACTGTATAAGTCTTTTAATTAAAACTTCTGCAAATAATGATATTAGTACTTTAAGCAATGCACGCGAATGGAAAATTCTTCGAGCAGTTAGGAACTGTGTTTTTCTCTCCTTTTAGAAACGCATCGTACGAATTTGCCTAAAAATTACGCCAGTGTGCGATTCAAGCGAAGAACTCGCGTCCGCAGATTTTTTTCTCTGATTATCGCTGATTCGCGAAGGAGCAAATATTTCTCCCGACGAATTCCGTGAAAACCACACTGACTAAACGTGTTTGATCTCTTTTCTTCTAAACTCTATGCATGCTCATTTCGTGCAACATCGTTTGATATCAGTCGCTCATATTGTCTCGAGTTGGCCTTTCTCGCTCTCGAATATCATTCGGAACCTAACTTACTTAACGACAAAATTGACTGTCTCCTCGACGAAATACAAAATGGACATGTTAGAAATGTCATGTCAGACACTTTGTAAAAATAATTAACGATTACTTCTTTTCTTTTGATTGGAATCTTTCATTCTTTGATCATCACGCGCACCGTTCCAGGATCAGTTTCCCCGACTCTTCGTACTCCTGTCGAGATAGCCACATCTGTTGGAATGATCCGAGCGAGCTGAGGATCGATCCGCCAATCCACGCGCCGTAGCGACGCTCGCTAGAGCTGTTTGCGCTTATAATTTTCAGTCTCATACTCTGTAAAGTCAAATAAATCAACATTGCGCTATGGAATGTCGAGAATAAATTCTGTCTACAGTGGCAAGAAAACATCGCTATATTTCATTAACATGTATATCCTAATATTAAATAATTCATCAGTAGAAGTTAGCGAATCGGGATTATTAATCAAACATTCCGCTTCTTATTACATGATCAAACAAAATTCTATTTGAAAAAGAGGTAAACGATACTCACTGGTGGAGTTTTGCTGGCTAAATCACGATTCAGTCTTTCACTAAAGCCTTGTAAACAGGAATTGCCACCGGTAACCACGACGCTCCCATAGAGACTCTGAGGAACCGAATTATTTTAACTTATAGGAGACAATTACTTTCTCGGAAGTTCATGCATGCTAAATAAGGACAGAGATACTTACGGGTCTGATGTCCATGTCGCACATGCCTACGCTCGTTGTTACAAGCGGGCCAACGCCGAGGATACTGGCTCCGACACCCTTCACGTTACTAGGATCGAACAAAGCTTCCGGTATCATTAGCCTAACGGAGCCGAAATCGTCGTTGTATCCAGTTGGGAACTCGTAATGTTTCATCGGTAGAGTATTGGCCACGTCCTCATCGTACGGACTATCGGAGACTTGAAGACAGTTCATCTGGAAGTCTTGCAACAGTTCGCGGACCATGTAGGTCAACCAGGAAGATGTTGGCTGAGCACCGGGTCGTTTGGTCCATCGTGGAGGGTCTCTCTCACGAACCACGTCTGTAGAATCAATTATTCATTACTTTCCAGTTGTTTTTTCAATATTCTAAGAGAATTAACGTATATAAAGAAAATTAATTAAACGGTTGAAAGTGTTTCGTGTGATACAAAGTCGGAGCATAATTTATTTTACGAAGCTTGTATCCAGCAGCGACAGAAGAGGTTTCGTTAAAAGAGGGCGGCGAGCAAAAAGTTCGACTTTAAAAACTCCTTAACCCATTCAACGTTGGTAAGTGTTCAGTAAATCTGTCCAGCACGCGCGTTAGAAGCGCACGGGCGTTGAATGCGTGCAATCAACGTATTATGACTCAAGTGCTCTGTACACAGCGCGCGTTCATCGTTCAAAATATGCGCTGAAAGGATTAAAGATTGCTCCCTTTGTGACCCATTATAGACTCCGCTCGGTACACGACGTGCTTAGTATATCTTTTTATAGCACGTTAATTCACTGAACGACACCCTGAACGTCAATTAAGTTAACATTTGTATTATGTCACGTTAATGGAGTCATGTTATTTTTAGATTGTGGATTTATATCCTTCTTCGAAATAATCATTCGTTCGTTGCGAATTTTATACTGTTCATATTCTACTATTCATAATATTTGATATTTTGCTAAGAACTTGCCTTTGCTCGCGACCATGCAGGCGGGAGACAGCTCGATGTCCTTTTCCTCGAAGAACTGCCTGCATTGCATGGTGATAAAGTCGCCGCCCAACGGGCTTTTCACGATCCCCTGAGTGATCACGTATCCATCGTGGACCGGAACCGCGCTCGTATGAGTCGCCCCGCTGTCCACCACCATCGCCGTCGACCTACCGTTCGCGTAAGCGGCCAGTACCGCGTTCTTGCAGATGTACATCGCCGGGACGTTGAATTTCTCGAACATCAGCTCCAGCAGCTTTTCTCGTTTCAGCCTCGTGTTCCATGGGCACTCGGTCATCAGGATCGGGTGGTGCTCCGCGAGAGCGTGGAGACGTTGCTTGTACGTGTACTCCGTCAGCCGTTCGAACATGTCCCAGTCCTCGATCATGCCATCCTTCATTAGGCTAACTATCTCCATATCTAACAACCAAACGTCAATCCTTCGGTTATATAATCGGTCTTCTAGACCACGGTCATCGGTACGGTCATCGTACCGTATCTAGACAGATATTGTGTCGCGAGATATCTCGTACGTGATCGCGAAGCGCTTAATTATTGACGCTAGCGAAAAGTTTTTTTTTTATACAGGACTTATAGGCACTGATGTCCTGTACAAGAAAGGTCCTATGCATTTTTTTATAACTCCGATATTTAAGGAGTTAAATATAGTTAATTGAAATTTTATTAGTACTGACAATATTCGGCTGTTCCTCCATCGAAAATATCTCAAATACTTCAGGACTCGATTAATTATTTTGTTCTTTGCCAATTATTCAGTTAAAAGAAAATTGCATAGGACTTTCCTTGTAATCTGGTAAATAAACACACGGGATATCTTGTTCGCGGCGTCGTGCGAATCACGTTGTGTCGCGGGATAACTCGTCTCTGGCATAGTACGATAGGTACCATGTCGCAGGATATCTCGTCGGTTAACAAAAACTTAGGAACATGTTTCATATATAAAAATGTAATGATCTATCCGTCAGTTCGAATGTATGAGCATCCTATCATGTGTTTTAATTGGACTTAAGGATGGGGACGTAGCCGTGTACCCGGCGATGGGATTACGCGGCGGATAATTGGTGCATACCCTTCTTTCGCACTTGGATGGCCGTGACATCGATATTGTAGTGCTTCTTGATGTCCTGCTGTCCGTCCGGTGCCTCGACATTCTCCTCCCACACGCCGAGGCTCGTCGGAATTTCGGCCTTCGGCGTGTCCTCACCGCCATAACCCACGCGAAGGCTCTGGTGTCCGGCGTCGAAAATGATAGCACCGACCTCGTCTGCGGGAAGAATCCAAACGCTTTACGGAATTCACCTACCCCGTATGACCGTCTATCTCTTTTTTCAATCCCGCAAAATATCGCGGAGCCCGTAACACATACCTCCGCCGTAGACACCACCGCTCATAGTATCTGGAGAGGAAAGGACCTCCGGGCGCATGCTCACCAACCCTGCTTCGACCGGTCCATGCAACCCCTCTCACCACCCTCCGACCGCGAGGATTCTGCAAGCCGCCGACGCTCCTGCATTCCCTCCTTCTGCATATTATTTGAATCGGCGATCGGGAGGAGACCGAGCCACGCGATCGATCAGCGAAAAGCGTTTCCGAACGAGCGCCGCTTTTGTCATGCGAAATTCACTTCGTCCGGCGTTACGGTAGGACTCTTAATTCTCCTGGAACAGAGATTACTTCGCCCGTTCTACTTTTACCGCCCCAATGGTTCCCGTGTCTTTTAAACTATTGGACTTTGTTCTTCAGGGATTGATCGCGGAAATGGTTGAAATAATTAATGGACGAACGTGTTTCCGTTATGGAATTAGTGTTGTATATTTTACAAAGTAAATAGAATATAAACAATCTAAAGTCGTCTAAAAACACAATAGTACGAATTTCGTGGTAAATCATTCGTTCATATATTATAAAGTATACGATTTGTCAACAGATCGATATTCTCTTCTTTCGAAGCCCCCGATTCGAGCTCGCGCGCCGATGCTCTTTCCGATCGGGGGCGCCGACATAACGAGAGGAGAGTACTTATACTCACAGAAAAATTATCGTCACGTTGCCGAGTGAACGATCGATTGGATATCTTACATCCTTTCTTTTCGCGTATCGATTAAACTGATTCGATTACAACACATTGCGTTAGAGGCTCGGTGTATGCATGTATTTTTTTCGTTTAACGACAGTCGAATAAATTTTTTTTTATTTTATTCTTTTTTTTTGTGGTTTTTCTGTTACTTGTCGGTTTTCCCTTAGCGTATCACTCGGTCCGTCGATCGTTAATCGGTGCGCAATATTCTCCCCCGTGACCCGCGTCCGCGCGTTCTGGTGAGGTACGATACGTGTACACACGGTTAGCAGTATTGATAAGTACAGACATCTTACAGATAATAGTTTTTTTTTTTTTCTTAATCGTTTCAACGTTAAAAGTTTTATACTACACGGTTTCATCTACTAACGATTTTCAGTCTCGCGCGAGTGAGAAACAACACCGATGACAACGACGAAACATGATTTCATTTATTCTGCTTTGTTCACGGCTTAGGTTTTGTTACTTACGTTACACGTATACCACACATTTTGCTTCATGAACGAACGAGAAAAACGTATCGAAGATGCTTGCTCGATAAAAATGTTATCCCTACGCGCCCTCGTAGCTTCTTATATACGATGACGATGCCGGTGAAAAGATCGGTAGATAAAACGATCTAGAAAAATTGGAAGACCAAGTAAACTCGTAACAAATCGCGTATTGCTCGCTCGGGATATGCATTTATCTGCACACGGTGTTAACGGTGTTGAAACTGTTCATCTCGTGGAACGTTTGCTGCAACGTAGTCTTGATAATAGGACGATTCGCGTTCGACGACAGTTAAAGATTCTAATCTTTCGTTGCGTTAATTGTAAGAAACACGATTAGGAGACTTTCTCAACGGGGAAATTAAAAGATTTTCCTCGTTGGATCGTTTGCAGTCTTCGCGTGAAACAGATTCGAACGGACGTGTGTGTGTGTGTGTTGGTTGATCTCCAACGTATCGTATAATAAAAACGTTCGTCAATCCGCAAGAATTCGTCTAATTTACGAGGTGGAGGACTAGGAGAACTTCCTTTTACGACAGGAAAAATCTCTTCTCTCGAACGAAATGGCAGTTGAATTAAAATTTCGATAAAACTCTCCCGCGTCTAGGGATCTACGGTTCGTTCAAAACTGAAACGAGGGTCGCCTGCACATGCGGCGTCGCATGGTTCGCTGGTTCTCGCGAATTCGAACGGAGTTTGGCAGTTTGGAGAACACATGGTCGAGTTTGTTCATTGCTTCTTCTTAAAATAGGATACGATCGACGCTTGTTTCATCGACATAGGCCAGGAACACGAACATGGAGCACATAGTCAGCGGCCGATCTCGAGGTGGCCTGTAATAATTAACGAAAGACGGACCACGGTATCGTTTATTTTTACATCGAGATAAATTTGAAATGGGATTTCTGTTCGTTTCGCAGGTTCGCGCAGCATCATGGGGAGGTTCTCGTCGGAGGGGTTCTACGTTTTGTTCATTTCTCTTTTTATTTACACCGCGATTACGAAGTCACGGACGTTTCGTTGGCTACTGTGGCCGCGATCGAGGTCGCATTCCGCTTCGCTTAGCTCAAACGCGTCGGAGAAGCCCGTGGGTGGGTCCAGCTTGGGGATGAACATGTTCCCTGATCCGTCACGCTCCTGGTCCCTATTGGAACAGGAATTGCTCGACTGGTGCTTGGTATGGCCAAACCCGGGGATTGGGCCGAAGTTGGAACGGGTCTCCTCGCTGGTATAACGCGCCAGCTGTAACATCCTTCAACAGAACAACGGGCGTTCGTCACGTTTTCCTATTTAAGTGAAATAATCCAATACTCGGCAAGCTTACTTGGATCTTCCCCTTCCAGGAAACGATTTTCTCTCAAAAATCGGTGAGGTTTCTGTAGACGTGCTAGATTCTGGTCCATGGTACAGGAAGTCTGCAACCAAGCAACGAATCGATTTTGCGCAGCGAAAACGTGTCTCGCGAGGTTTTCTTTCCGTGGAAAACCCCCGATTCCGTTCGAACGTTTTACGACAACAAACAAGCGTGAAATACTCGGTCGGTGCACTCTAACGAACGAATATAGACAGGCAACGGGAACGGACGACCGGTAGTACTGCGATGCATGGAAAAAAATTCAAGCGACGCTCCTCTCCCTTCCGTTTCCTTTTTCGGATCGGACGATCAAAAGAGGGCTCGTCGGGGATCGAGGAGCGCGCCGGCTTTGAACAACAGGGCCAAACAGAGGGGATAAAACAACGGGTAAAAATCGAATAGAGAAGGATGAGAAAGATTGCATACTGTGGACACGCGAGTCGGCCGCAGACACCGAGTGGTGCGAATCGACGAGGTGATTTGAAGACTCGGTTCGGCTGCTGGTCCCGACTTCCGTGTCGCTATCCGAGCCCAGGGTGTCGTATTCCTCCGACTCGGACTTGCCCTGATTGACCTTGTGCGTTTTGTGCAACGGCGCAGAGGACGAACGGCCTCCGCGCACCTTAGTGTATCGGTTGCAATCCGACTGCAATCAGACGGAATTGTTTCGATGAATCTTCGGCACATCGCACGAGGAAACGAGGAGACGCGCTACACCGATCTCTTTCTTTTCTTGTTTATTTTCTCTTCTTCGATATCTCTCCTAATATATCGCGAGCCACTCATTCAGAGGTGTTCATTGCTACGAGCTAGCCAGCTAGAGATCTCTATTTCAGATCAGAGCCATCGATTCCGATATTTCTACGCCCTATGTATCATTATTACAAATTCATCGATCGCCTTCGGCGAGATCGAATGGCGCTGATCTTTGACAGTCACTACTATCTGTCCTCTATAGCTGTGTCGTTGATTATCCAATCAAATCTGATTCGCACGGGACGCGTCGATGGTACGTAATAACGCTTGTTATTCTACAACTAGACGAGCTAATGTAACAAGAGAGATTGGCGAGAAATGTGTATAGAATGATTTATATAGTACAATGTCGAGAGAAGTATGACCGTTGGTATCGGTGTTGCGGTTCCTCGATGGACTTGATCAGGACAGATGCGAAACGAAGCAAGGTGGGACCAGCAGTCACAATGATCGATTTCTCTATGATGCACATCTTGTTCTACTCGATCCGCGCGCGCTGATTCTCTACTCAACGCATGAATTCTCGTCTCATTTTTTGGCACACAATTATTTTATCGCCGACTGATGGTGGTGTTGACTCTCCCGACGCGTATTACGTCTCCGCACGTTTTTCGATCGTATCGCGGAAAAAAAAATTGTACAAACAGTCGTAGTGGCAGACAATCTCCAAACAATGACGGGTAGCCAAGGCCGATGTGCGCGCGCGAAATGCGATTGGACTTGTGCGCGACGCGCCTACAGCAGAGACTAATGCGAAAACATGCTCAAGCGGAATTTGTACTTTTCCTCCTGCTGCATTGCTGATGTTTTGCCTTTTAATGCTGCTCTATCTTGATCTTTTGGGGAGACAGTGATAAAGGCAGGAATTGAAGCTTTAGCAGGAATTCTTCTCAGCAGATAAAAGTTCGCTATTTAGCACAGTTATAATATGCAACAAACATTAATAAGGCTAATCGGATATGTAAAAGTACGAACTTTTATCTGAAACACTAAAAAAAAAAATGTGACGAGGAATAGAAAAGGAGGCATGCGGTGTGCGCAAGTGTTTCGCATTGGCTCCACGAAGAAATAGAGACGAACGGTGAGTGGTGGAAAGCGATGGTGAATGACAAAAGCAAACTGAGAACGGTAGGACGATACCTCTCTTAATTGAAGAGTGTCGGCAGTGGACAGACGTGGATCGTGATAGACGAAGGTCTGAAGTGGTGCTGCGGAATTACACCGACTATCGCCTCCCGGTGGCACGCTCTCCTCCAGTTGAAAGGTCGCGTAAGGGTAGATGTCTTCCGAATATTCTGCAATCATTTTACCAAGAATTTTCTAGTTTATTTCAAGAACACACAAATCTTCTATGCAACGATGATTAACACTGCCGACGTAGATACTGTGTGTATTACAAAAAAAGGAAAATCTCGCACTTTGTTCTTCGCAAAGAAAGACTTAATGAGCTAATTAAACAAGAGCCACTTAACGTCGCGCTCGCTCCCTTTTTAACTCACCTGGAATTTTTTCCAAGGTGGCCATCTCGTGTATCGGCGAACGAAGAGGCTTTCGCACGGTCGCGTAATATTGTTCGCGCTGTTCCATGTTCTGTTTATTGTCTAAGGCGGCCGCGGTCTGAGCGTCGTGGAGGCTCGCCATCTCTCCTATAAATGGACCTACGGTCATCGGATCGTTACGTCTAGCATAGATTCAAACACAATTTGTTTCGAGAAATAGAAATTATTTCGCAAGTGTCTCGCATTTCGAAATCAGCGTTTTAGAACTGAACAAAGTGTTTCTGAACCTGTATTAGGATTACGGAAGAGGCTTGCTACTAACGTTTCCGGAAACAATAGAAGACTGCACCGGCGGCGGCGATAATCGCAAGAGAGCTCAGAATCAGCGGGATAATCAATTTCAGATCCGAGTAGACGGACGTGTGCTGAGGAATGTAATGATCGATCTCGACGGACGGGATTGTGCTGCTGGTGTGAGGCTGCTGAGTAGTTATCCTATACTCGGCGACCGAGAAACCCGCGTTATTGTGCGCCCTTATTCGGATGTCGTAGGTCGTTCCAGATTGCAGCTCGCTCAGCGTGTACGTCTTTTGTACCTGAACAACGAATATTCTGGCTATTTACTGCAATATTGAGGATCGGGACGGCTCGTCCGTCCTCAATCCCTGAAATCTCTCCCAGCAATTATTGAACGAATTATTTAATCGAAAGGCGATTAATAGAAAAGCACATAGTCTTTAGAAAATAGAATTAAATACGTAAAAGTAATGAAAAAAATTGTAATATTTTGTGTAACGTGGTATTGGTACGTCTGCGTTATTGTTCTCGCGAGAGAGAGAGAGAGATGTGAAAATAGAAACTACCCTGCACTATAAATGATGCACGTTTTTAGCTAATGACTCCAATTTTGAAGCGTGTACTCTACGCTCGAAGAGTTTAATAGAAAACACAACTAGCTAGCGTTATTATTTTGAATACCTCGATGTTGTTCGACACCAGCGTCCACATATCGTCGCTGTTTTTTCTGTACTCGAGCTCGAAGTGCGTGATGGGACAGCCACCGTCGCTCCACATGCTCAGATGGAGCGTGATCCACGACACGTTCACGGTGATGAATTTCTCACCGTTGCTGGGCGACTCGTCCGGTTTCGACCCTTTGGTTCTAGCTTTCACGATCTCACTCGGGGAGCCCATGCCGATCCGATTGTACGCGGTCAGATACATTTGATAATCGTTCCCACACCATAGCCGTGAGAGCACGAAACTGTTGATCTTATGGGAGACCTTCACTTCTTCCCATTCGCCTGATTCCCGTTTGTAGTGGAGGATGTAACCCCTTATCGGCGCGCCGCCGTCGTCGCCGTTTTTCCATTGGACGTTGATCGTATTACTTGTCACGTTCGTTGCGTGAAGCAACGGAGCTGCCGGTGGAACTACCAAAGCACACAAACAAAATTATTCTACGTAAAAAAAAAATTTTTTTACAGTACAAGTCCAATGAATAGAGAAAAATAAGAGATTTATGGAGGAATGATGCTTCGTGAATTATAGCGATGGTTTCGATGGTGAACGAGGATTCTTAGTTTGAAATTGAAATATCTACCTTGCACGGTTAACCGATGCGTGATCTGATCGAATCCGTGACGATTCTTCACGTGACAAGTGTAATTTCCGCTGTCCTCTCGGTGAAGATCCATAATCTGGAGGGATCCCTCCGGTAACAGGGATACCCTGTTCGAGGATTTCACAATCTGGCCCCATTGTTTCCACGTCACCGAGGGTTCGGGATTGCCAACGCTCTGACATGGTAACGTCACGTTCCGCTTCCACGGGACCACCAGCACTGTACCGAAAGAGTATATCGCAGCTCGAACTGTAACAAGTTAAAAAATAACGAAGCTTTAGAATTTAATAAAAATAGATCAGAGTGAGTCTGATATGGATTAGATTTAACAGATTTTAAGATTAATTAATTTAACTGACCGTCGCTGGTTGGCGAGACTGTAATGGGGTGAGTCTTCGGTCCCTCGCCCACCGATGTGACCGCTGCTATACTGAACTCGTACTGATTTTTCTTGTGCAAGCTTTCAGCCAGATAGCTAGTCTGATGCGGTGGCAACGTCCGTGTGTACGATTTTCCCTCCGGGCCGAGCCAACGGATGTGAACGTTGTACGACGTGAGGTTGCCGTTGCTCCTGTACGGTGGCTGCCACGAGACGATAATCGATGTCGCCGACCTGACGACCGCCTTAACACCGGCCGGCATCTCCGGCAGGTCCTCCTCGGTGACGCAATACAAAGGTGAAGACGCGATGCCGTCCCCGGCCCTGGTCGAGGCCAACACTTGGACAGAGTAGTTGGTGTACTTCTCGAGGCCGTGGATCACGATAGTCAAGGCACTGGTGATCTTCATTTCCGACTTCGGGGACTCGGCCAGCGCGTCCATGTTTTCCCATATGACCTTGTAGCCTTTCAGGATCCCGTTCCAACTCGATTCAGGCGGCGCGTCCCACGAGACTTGAAGCGATTGCGAGGACAGAGCCGTGCAACGGATGTCCTGTGGCGGGCTGCTCGGCACTGAGGACATTTCAATCACACAAGTCAATTACGACCGTCCTATTAGATTTAACTAAATTCTCCTTGTCTCCGTATTTACTATGAGCACTTTTTTAATTACAGTAATTTACTTGTATTGACTTAGGCTCTCATTTCCCTACTCCTCTTTTAATTTGTAACAAGCTTTTTTACCAATCCCAATGAAATTTTTGAGTACTATTATACAATCCGAACCGATAAAAGATAAATAGCAACGAAGCAGCCAAATAATACAATATACTGTTGAGTAGCCTCGAGCTACCGCGAATCAATATTTAACTTGCAACTGAATTTTTCAAACGGTGAAACTGTGGGCGCAACTCGGTTTCGAAACTGTTTTAAAAGCCGCCGCGACATTTCCATTACGAGTAGCTTGAACCCCGGACTCGTTTTTCACCGGGGATGAGAGAATATCGCTGGATGTCCGTGGAAGAAACGCCGTTCTCCGGGTGAAAGTTGTGTCGGCGCGGTGAGAGCACTTAGGAGTTTAACCCCCAGCCGTGGCAGCGTTCACGGGCCCGGGATTAAAGAACTTATTTGCAAGCAGATCAGTTCCAGCCAGTCTAGCTGGTGAATTTATTATTTATTCGAAACCCAACCGGATGTACAGCGGTTGGTATTCATGGCGGGACTCGTGATAGGCTCGCCAAACCGAACGGCATTATTCCGTTCATGAATTTTTGATCGGCTACCGGATCGCGTTACGTTAAATTGCTTTCCGTTAACGCGGCGACGGTCTGCTCGACGGGTTTGCGCGCGTTGCGTATTTCTAAAGAGGATTGGGTAGCTCGTTTAAGATTTTCCTTACCGTCCTCGAGGGTAGTCGCTATCACCTCCGGAGTCATGGGACCCTGGCCGAGCGCGTTGTACGCTTGCACTACTACGCTGTACCGCGTGAACTTCTTCAAGTTCGTCAGCTGATACTGTCTACCGGGCATCGACGTTCTCGCCAGGCCTAGGGCCACGCTGGCCGTAGAGATTCGCCTCTCCACTGTCCGGAACGTGTACTGATCCGAGATCAGCCTAGACATTTTGTTCCTAATTACTCTCACATTAATAACGAAAATTCCTTGATTTAATGCGACCGCGCAGCGACGCATTTCAAAATACGAGACAAAATAATATCATGTAGTCCATTTATTTCATGCAACTTTTAAAAAAAATATCTGACTCCGCGTTCAGATTGCACACTGCACACATGGGGTAGTGTAACGTGTTTCGAAAATATATTTCAACGTCAATGTTTCTCTGAAATAAACGAGAAAACCGCGGTCGGTGGCTGCGGTTATTTATCATGGCTCAAAGTATAGAGTATCAGCGTTATCCGAGAAGCGTGCGCTCGAATGCAATTTGGCATGCTGGCGGCTGGTCGCTACGTAAGTATAACGAAACATATTGTAGATAGAGGTAGGTAGGTATGTATGTTATATCGTAAGTTGAACGCGTAGTCGTTAAGGACGACGCGGCGCGGTGCTCCCGTTTCCCCTTTCGGATCGTTACCGATGTTCCTTGTAGCCGACGTGATAACCGAGTATCTCCCCGTTCCATAAATCATGATCAGGTGGATCCCAGGTGACGTTAAACTCGGTCGAGCTGACGGGATCCACCTTGAGATTTCTCGGCGGCCCGCTCGGCTTTTCGCCCTCCGTGGTGGTTTCCAAAATCTGGAGAAAAGAGAGAAAAACGGTACGGCTTGCGATTGCCCGAGCGGAGATTAAATTTTTACGTTCCAAACCCGTGCGATTTTCATCCCCCCCTCGCGGCCCATCGTTCAATCGAACGTGAACGCGCGATAAGGAGCAGGGTCGGTGCGGAATTTTAATCACGTTGAGGACGATTACGCGAGGCCACGGAGGCGGAATTCAGCGAGCAAGAAAATTGCGGTCCGCTGTAGCGTGTCAAGTCGCGACTACAATGATCGACTCGGTTATAAATCGACTTCTAAATGACCATCTTTGGCAGATTGGTTTTATAAAATACGCAATTGTATGTTAAACTGAGACATGTACACGCGTTTTGCATAATAAAATGAATACCTTTCACGAATGCAATTTCTATAATGATATCTCACATCATATGAGTGTTTCGCAATTCTTCTAACTAAGGAGAAAATATCTATTCTTAGTACTCTTACATCGCTGGCTTGACTGCGACCCAATTCGTTTTCAGCGTATATTCGGAACTGATACAGGACTGCTGGGCGCAGACCGCTTACGTGAGCGTGAGCCTGAGTGCCTGGCACCGTTGTGTGAAACTTGTGATCGCGCCACACTTCTGTAAAATAAGTCGTCAAGGGAAAGATCGGGGTACCTGTTGAACAATCGCATGAAACGTGGGAGGAAAGTGAAACTGTAGGTAGACGTGCTAATAAAACCGAATTTTTTAATTCTGAATGTACATCACGGATGAATCATCTACATCGAATGTGAGAAATAAATACTGGGGTATATCATTCAATTTACTGGTTCATGGAATTCAATTCACTGGTTCTGAAAATGTCAGCAGGAAAATATTTACACCTTCCATTGTGGGTGAATCATTCGGATCTGCATTTGATAAATAAATAGAATTGAAGCGTTTTAGATGAAATCGTTTAATTACCAGTGTCAGTCTTGTACTCGATGATGTATTGGGTAATAGGGCTGTTCCCATCCTGGCTTGTGGTCCAACTGATATTGATGTAACGACTTCCTTTCTCGATCACGTGTAGATTCCGCGGGAAGTCGGGCGGCTCTGCGTGTTCCACCGTGGAATAAAATCACTTTTGTTAACTGCGTTTCTACCGCTACTAACCGACCGACTGCGGCTATTGTGTACTCTAACAGTTGTAACGTGATGGAAATTCGTTCTATCGAAACATATTTCATTTTGCGAACTAATCGTAGACGCGATTATCTCGTTCTCGCGCAACTCCCGTTTGTGCGAAAACGCGTTAAATTAAATGGACGGTGCACATATATATATTACGGTATACATTACAATAATTACGCGGGTACCGCGAAATCGAGTTATACGCAAGTACCAAGAACCCGGAAACATTATCAAAATTGTTTCATCGCGATCTCGAACCGATGCATCATGGCGGTAACGTCGTTATCGGGGATTATCGCGTTCTGGGAAAAACTGTTTTAATCGACGCGTTTCTATTTTTCTTTTTTAATCCTCGATTATCTCCGATTCGTTCGAGTCATTACGCAGGAGGCCATTAAGAGCGCAGCAAGATTCGGAAGATTGTCTTGAAATATGATTTCCGGGTTGCGTTGCGATGCCGTCTTACCTTGTATGTACAGGTGGATCGTCATTTCGTCGCGGCCGTAAGTGTTCGAAGCTATACAAAAGTATCTACCGCTGTCCTCTCGGCTCGTGCTGAGAAATTCAAGCGTGCTGATGCTCCCGTCCGTCGTATTTTCTTCCTTCACCGTGTACCGGTAATCGGATAGCTTCTGTTCTAAGTGAGCGCCTGCCTTTTTCCATATTATCTTCAAGGGATGATCGCCCTTAGCTTGGCAACGTAGCGACGCGCTCGAGCCCAGTCTTGCTGTTTGGTTACGATGTTTCTCCACGAAATGGGCGGGAACTGATTGATACGAATACGAGATACAACGTCAAAAAGAAGAACCACACGTCGTATCAAATTAATCCTCGACTGGTGTGCTCGTTTAATGCGGAACAGATCAGATACGCCTCGCACCATCCCAGTCGAGGATTAAACCCTTGACACCGCCCGCTTCATCATCAAGTCCCGCTCATTCTCTCAATTGAAAAAAAAAGAGAGATCACCGCGGGGAATGATCTCGTTTCTTCGCTACAGTGGGAGGGATGCTCTTACCGTTCACGGTTAGATGTACGACTTTGCTGAGGCCAGCTCCGATCCCGTTCACCGCTTCGCACAAATAAAACCCCTCGTGGTCCTCTTGAACCCGGCCGAAGACCAGGGACCCGTTCGAGTGAATCCTGAGGCCCTGGGCGTGCTCGTGCGTGACGATGTCGCGATAATTACCGGGTTTTTCGCCGCTAGCGCGACGCCACGAGACCGCCGGGGGCGGGAATCCGTCCGCGTGGCAGTGCAGCACCAGCCTCGACATCCCTTCGGATGCACGGACGTCTTGGGGTTCCATCACCCAACGGGGTGGCACTGTTTTCCCGGCACAACACATACCGGTCGTTAGTCGATGGTCGGCAGACGATTTCTCGTGGCACCGTCGCGTCGACGACCGTGGCATCTGAAATTTCATCCTGAACCCAATGGCTTCCTCCTTCCCATTTTACTTGCAGATCTCGCTGACTTTTAATGGATATCCGGCTGTCTGACAGTCGCGACTCCCTCGTTATTCCCTTTTTTCAGCAATTATCGCGGTCGGGCTTGTTAGCCCGTTGCCTTCAGCGGGAAACCACCCGAATCAAGGTTCTCGAATTTGTTGATCGCTTGGCGACGCGATGGAAATAACGAGGAATATTTAGAGACGTTTTTCTAATGATCGTTTCGTTTGCTTTCATATTTTCGCGTTTTCAACGTCGAGGTTGAAAGGATATTTCAGATGCCACGGACGCTCGCATCTAAGCTTATTGCGCCGAGGCAAGAGCGAACTTCTTGAATTGGCCTACTGCAACTTCCTACTTCAGCGCAAAAGTGAAACAAAAGACGTAATTTCAGGAGTGCGCGCGATCGACCGAGGATGAAGGAGAAGAATACGCATTTCTTTTTTACGGGATTGTCGTGATTGAATAAGACGAATACATTGTCTTCTACCTCTGTCGACTGCAAGTACAGGCAAAACGGGAAGAGAGAGAGAGAGAGAGAGAGAAAGAGAGTGAGAAGGAAAAAGTAGACGTGATTTAATAGAGAAGATCAGACGAGTGCACGAGAAAGAAACGGATAAGTGGGTGGCTCGTGATAGAACAGATCTAAATAACGGTGTAACATCATAGAGAGAACGATGCAAAAATCAGTGCTGTGCGGAGATATCCTCAAGAACATTGCGGTGATTGTGCATCGGGCGGACATAGAAACGCGGTGGGACCCTTTGTGCTTTCGTTCAAATATTTGCTTCGGCCAATTGTTTTCGGTGCTGGAAACATATGTATAGGTGCTACGTGACTGGAATATTTCTACATTATTGGCCGTACGGGTGGTTTTAAGAAAATATTTGAAATATATATCGCGAAAATATTGTTTTAATAAATTATAAAATATAGTTAATTCGGGTTAAGAGTTGCTAATGCTTTACAGCCGTACGAATAAATTGTTTGCCAGCGTAGCACGTTGAATCGGTGAGATTTGGTGTACGTGGCCGTCGATTAAGTGGCCTCGAGGAAAACGGTTTCGGGAGCAGTTTCCAGCAGGGGAAACAATAAAGGTTGGTGTCGTTCGGTGTGGGAATTGGTGCCAAGTGTGTTCCATAATCGACCGGAAAGAAATAAGGCGGAACGATAAGGTACGAGAGAAATAATAGTAAATGAAAACGGGCTAGAAATATAGTGAGCAAAACTTGTCGGTGCATATATGCGTGTGCTTGATCAAGTGAACGAATGCCGAGTTTAGTCAGCAGTTTCAAAGTTTTGTACTTCCATTGCTGGCTGCTTGGTACCCGTACAAAGTTAAGACGAACTGGTGCCACGCCGAAGCCGAATTTTCGCAAAAGAGTTGCTAGGTGCCCTTTCATGCAGAATCGCTTTACTTTGGGAGAGTACCGCGATCCCTTCGTATTCTTACGTATTTTCATTGCTGAATGCAGTAATATGTCAACTGTCCAATTAAAAGTATATTTTAGCAATTAATCGATGAATATTTACTACACTTGTTGAGAAGAGAATAAACAAGTGTTTCTATGTATCAGGATTGGGATCGCGGTATCTCATTGAGCTCGGAAATTGTGATAAGTGCGATTTCATAGTCGGTGCGTCAGTGAGATATACACGACTAGACAAAGATACGATAGCACTGGTCTCTATAGAACACTGGATAGTGCGGTGCTCAAGTGCGTTGGTGCGTCGCGTTGCTGGCTGGGCGATTGCTGCTGCTGCTGCTGCTGCTTTAAAATATAGTTAATTCGGGTTAAGAGTTGCTAATGCTTTACAGCCGTACGAATAAATTGTTTGCCAGCGTAGCACGTTGAATCGGTGAGATTTGGTGTACGTGGCCGTCGATTAAGTGGCCTCGAGGAAAACGGTTTCGGGAGCAGTTTCCAGCAGGGGAAACAATAAAGGTTGGTGTCGTTCGGTGTGGGAATTGGTGCCAAGTGTGTTCCATAATCGACCGGAAAGAAATAAGGCGGAACGATAAGGTACGAGAGAAATAATAGTAAATGAAAACGGGCTAGAAATATAGTGAGCAAAACTTGTCGGTGCATATATGCGTGTGCTTGATCAAGTGAACGAATGCCGAGTTTAGTCAGCAGTTTCAAAGTTTTGTACTTCCATTGCTGGCTGCTTGGTACCCGTACAAAGTTAAGACGAACTGGTGCCACGCCGAAGCCGAATTTTCGCAAAAGAGTTGCTAGGTGCCCTTTCATGCAGAATCGCTTTACTTTGGGAGAGTACCGCGATCCCTTCGTATTCTTACGTATTTTCATTGCTGAATGCAGTAATATGTCAACTGTCCAATTAAAAGTATATTTTAGCAATTAATCGATGAATATTTACTACACTTGTTGAGAAGAGAATAAACAAGTGTTTCTATGTATCAGGATTGGGATCGCGGTATCTCATTGAGCTCGGAAATTGTGATAAGTGCGATTTCATAGTCGGTGCGTCAGTGAGATATACACGACTAGACAAAGATACGATAGCACTGGTCTCTATAGAACACTGGATAGTGCGGTGCTCAAGTGCGTTGGTGCGTCGCGTTGCTGGCTGGGCGATTGCTGCTGCTGCTGCTGCTGCTGCTTTCATTTTGCTGCATTTCATTTTTATTATCCTTTCCGAATATCGGATCTAGAGATGCGCTCTTTTGGCTTTTTTGGAACTACCATCGAAACGTATCATTCGAAGACAAAAGTTAAATCACATTGTTTTCATTTTCCCTGATCCAGTAGTGTACCGTCATCGTGCGGTCCCATAGTATCGACGTGTCCCATTGAGTACCGTGCTCGATAATAAGTTATAAGTAACGTTGACAGATTCCATGAATCGCCTGATAACAAGCGTTAATGAAAAGATGATATTATATTTGTTCATTGAGCGAGGCAATTTTTGAACATTGATTCAAATTATCCTGCGAGATTGCCTTCACTTATGTCGTGAATAAGGGAAGATAACGAAGTGATCCGCAGCCCTAATTGATACGTTCCCATGCTACTTGAAATGATTCGCGGTTTGCGATGGCTGCGGCGGCTGCTGCGGCTGCACGGCTTGTGCTTACAAGTGATTACACAATACCAATGATAACAATAATTATAATAGAGTGTGTAAATATGTTCAGGCTGACTCGTCGGAACGTTTAATTGCCTCCAATAATGTTAATCAAACGGAAAAATGTTTTTCGACCGCAAATTGAGATTTTTCGCGAGACCGAGCGGAGCATAAAAACGATGTGACAAGCGTTCGATTAATTATCGTATAATTTATTTGAAAAACCGAACACTAATATAAATTGTTGAATCAAATTCCCTTCCTTTTTATATGAAAATTTTACCGCGATCAATGCTAGCACTGCTGCTAACAGTAGATCTAAATGGAAAATGTGCACGTTATGTAACAATAGTCGATTGTAATTTAAGAGTGATTTATTTATGGGTCGTTATTGTCTCGTGTATATATGCCAAGAGTGAAGTGAACAGTGAATTGATCGAATCAGGCATTCACCGTTTTCGTGTAATTACCTCTGCCATTGTATTTACGGGCGCTGGATTTTAAGCAATTGAATAGATCCTTCCACAACTTAAGAGCTCCCTCCTCGAAACAGTGTATTTTCACAATCGATACGTTCCGCCACGAATTACTATTACTAATGAAATGAGAATTATTATTACGATCTATTCACGGAATCTCAATTTGAGTATTTGACAGGACAGGAGTAGCAAGTCGAACGAGCCAGCCGGTGCTCGTAAAAGATCTAGAGACAATAAATGGTGCGCTGACATAAGTTGGGTGCAAGAAAACAGACAAACAGAAAGGTGAGTGACGGCAATTTTGAAGATGATAGAAAAAGGTGCGGCCGGGCTTTCGTTTTCTCTCGGATTACTTTACCACGAACGATCAACTCGGCCGTCCAATGGACCTCGGCCACTGAATTGCGCGCAATGCACGTATAGTTGCCGGTGTGCGCGGCGCTCACGCGCTCGATAACTATGGTACTGGAATGGGCGTCAATGTTGGTTACGCGCATCCCGACGGGTATCTGGGTGTGTCTGTTGGGACTGGTTATCCCAGTGTTCCCGAATCCGGCTGAATTGGGCCCGGCGATCGGCTCGCCGTCCTTTGACCAGGAGATCGTGAACGGGGGATCGCCTTTCTCGACCATGCAAGTTACCTGGGCACGGACGCCCTCCGATAGGTCCTTGTTAAAACTAAAGGGGGCTATCGTGGGTGGAACTGCACAAAAAAAAAAGATTCGACCGATCAGCTTGCGTGTACGCGTGATCGTGTCTTGACAAGGAAATAATGTGTCCAATTTCTCCTTAGAAGAAAAGCTGACGTCTCACGCTACACGCATAACGGCAAGAGCTTCGACTCTTTATTCGATTCCATTACAACGCTGAGTCGAAGCCTTTACCGAACCTAGAGCAAAGTTGTACGCCAGTCTCTTGGAAAGAATATCGGTCCCATTAGTTTCTTGCCGGGCGAACGTGTGTATGCGGGTATGCAGCTGGTGGATCCAAAGTTCCTAGGATGTCTGCTTCCCCGTTGACATGCTTCCTCCGACGGGATGATCGATGCGCGTTTAGTTGCCGCGAAAATGCTTAGCATACGGCAGCCCGAACGAGTAGTTTGATGGTTAAAGATTTATCGAGGCGATCGTGACGCGACCGTAGGGAACGCGGCTCTGCAGGAAGTTGAATTTTTTCTCTGCCGCGAACTTGTTTGCATCGGGAGTCGAATCGATCGTGTTCGAGAGTTCGAAAGCCTTCTCGTCTCGCTCTACGGTCGAGTTACGTCACGGTCTTTAAATTATTATTGTACAGTAAGGTATGTACCAGCACAGGCATAGTTAGTCAATAGTTTCGAATGTAATGAATTATAAAAAATGGCTAAATCGAGATTAATAGACGAATGGAAAAGATTTTGGCGTTTTGATTTATGCGCATAATCAATCCTAAGCGATAGAACTTAAGATCGGGGATCATCCCCATTTAGATCAGCAAAATGAATCTGCACAAAGATCAATCGGCTCTAGTGGGGTGGCATCTGTTTATATACCTCGTCTATGGCACTAAAGCATCTCTAAACTCAATCAACTGTATCGTTTCATGTAATTAACTGATACAGTATCGGTTCTATTTTCGGTATTAAATTTATTATCTACAATCGCCATTGTATTTTATCTTGAATAATATCTATACACGATGCAGATTGTACTAATTAAATTTCCGTCTTATATTCGGTTCCCGCGGACGCGTTTAGGAATGAACGGTATTTGGCCTGTAATCCGGATGAGAACGATCCCACAGAAACGGTGAATGTACAGCAGAGATTTCGCTGCGCGTCCTCCCCACAAGCCGACTTCTCCACAATACAGACCGACGTCCTTTGCAACGTTACGCCTTCCTAAGTCCATTAACCTTATTGAAACCATTGAATCTATCGTTTGCCGTGCCAGTATCGACTCTCGGCTCTCGGCGCGCGTATTACGCTGGACTCGTAATGGACGCCGTAATGCGATAACATCAACGCGGCTTATCAACTCGGCTATGCCGTCATTATGCATAAGCCATTATACATATATATATAGGCTCATATTAATATTGACGAAGTCACAAGGGGCGTTTCGGCACAGTTATCCCGCGAATCAATGACGCTACGGTAATCAAATAGACCCGCTCCCGTTAGTTAAAGTTATTAAAAGGCTTATAGTACGCAGACCCTATGTAGACAATTCTGTATGTATATCTACAGAGTTTCAACCGAACGATATCGCTTCCCTTTATTTTAAATCCACTCCTCTTAATTTCATCTTCGAATTGTTAATAAAGTACAAAGGCATACTTAGTATATGAATTTGTGAGCATGAAACAGAGTTAAATGAGATCTTTTATGAATGCAACTGTTTGCATGTACACAAATTTTTCCAGATTTTTGTACTTGAATTCTAGAGTTTACTGAGGGAGCAGGACGAGGCATCGCACGAGGGGAATCGTCCCGCTTCTCGAATATTTTATTTGACGACGACGTCGCTCGTCGCGGCACGTAAACCAGACGTAATGCCACGGAACGACAATAATAACTTGGCTTGTTGGCCTCGGCCGGGGATATACATATACGCGAATGGATAGATGCACGCGGTGTGTTCGGGGATATTCGGTGCCCTGAAGGTATTAGAACAGAATGTGGAGGTTGTTTGAGAATAATTGAGAAACCGTACCGTGTGGGTGACGGCAGATAGCGCAACATTACATGAATAATGCCCCAAAGAGAAAAGCGGCCCTGTGGTGTGCAGGTGCACGTTACGCGCACCGTGCCACGTTTTACCGTGTCCCTTATTCCATGTATATATATATGTGAGTATACGCGTTTAGGATATCTGCCGCGTTACGTTCCAGCGAGATAGTTCGATAAACGAACAAACAATACGAATTCCATATGTGTTTGATGACACACGTTGACGTCGTTTCAGACAAAACAGAACGACACTCCTCTCGTTTATGTGTCGAATACTGCAGCTTCAGCGCGCTCTAATAATTAAAAAAAAAAGGCTTATCCTACTGGCTTTCACCCTTTCTTCTCGGAAATGTCTGTACTGTGTAATCCCTGGTCTGTTAGAATGTTGCGACACGAAACGTAACATCGGGATCGTGAAAATTGTAGAAGGAATATCGATTAAATTAAACAAAAAAAAACAAACATAAGTCGTATGTATTTCTTTTTTAATTATATACAACAGCATGCGTTCGTAAAGTGCTGATCGCAGAATGCGATCGCACGTCCTCTGCCTCAGGGCTGGACTCTTTAAGACGCTCTTCTGGACTACCGAAAGAATGGGAGGAGAGGGATATCAGATAATCATTTATCGTGACATGTGTACATACACGCGTTGGCGGTGTCGCGACGCGCGTAACACCGAGGATGATGTTTCGGCTCGCCGGTTGTCACGGCGCGGCACGTGAAAATCACCCTTAGGCCGTTCGTTTCGTACGACGGCCAAGAGTTTCGTTCGTTCCGCTTGCACTGATTTGTTCGTCTAGAGAGAACTCCGGGGGTGGTTGCCGGTGGATATCAACAGCAGCGGCGGTGGTGGTGGTGGTTTTTAATGCCAACCGCCCCTCCGACAGACGAGGAAGAGCTCGGAGCGAGAGAGAACGCGCGTACGCGTTCGAGCTTACCCGCTCGCGTGTGCCACGCAAACGAGCGGGGAAAGAACGAGGGAGAAATGAGAAAGAAAAAAAATAGAGGGAGGCGGAATCCTCGCCCGAGGATGAAGAGTGGCAACGATTGATCTTGCTCGCGCTTTACAGCGGGAGTTTCCAACCGGTCGAGAGGTCCTGCCGTCGAGCACCGCGTGACGATTAATATCGACGATGGAGCGCACACGTTCTCCCTTCGTTTTTCCTGCCCGTTTCACGGCCATTCCGTGCGCGTCCCTCGTCAGCGGCAATTGCGGAATTTATCCTACCGACGAGGACTGAGCGACGGAGAACGGGAACCGTGGAACTAGCGTGGAACAGAAACGAAAGAAAAATAGAGCGTGAAATCATACGTCGTTCGTGCTCGCGTTCGACTGTTTTGAATAGGAGGACAGACGGTGCGGTGGAAGCGAACGAAAATTTCCTAACCGAGTTGCCGGAGTTCAGGGGGTGGTTGGAAATAAAAGACGATCGCGGGCTGAAATCGGTGACCGTAGAGAGTGGGGGAGATAGAGATAAATGAGAATGAGAGAGAGAGATAAAGGGGCTCGCAGAGAGGGTGGGCTCGTGTGAATGGTTCGCGCAGCTGGTGAAAAGTTGTCGAGCTGACAAGCAGGAAACGTTTCTGCGCGCGAACTTTTCATTCACGGATGATTGTACGCGCACCCGATGCTTTTTTCGTGATCACCGTGACGAACATTTTAATTTGTAACGTTACGAGCTTGCATTACCCGACGTTCCAAGTTGGACCGATTCTTTTAAATCTGTGAAAACTCCGATAAAAAAAATACCATTTGGCAATAAAAAATTCACTGTAATCACTCAGCATCGACGCGTTTAACAACGCAGGTTTTACGTGGCTTTAAGTGGAGAAGAATCGTTAAAGTTTGATGCGGTTTCCGCATGTTGCGACCATTCCTGCCTGCGTACCGTGAACCAATAGCGATGCCGTGCGAGAAGTTTCGGCGGCATCGTTGCTAGCGACGCACGTATAATTGCCGTTATGCGCCGTGGTCGCGCTCGGTATCATCAACGTGAGATCGTATTCGCCGATATGGTGCGTGGTCGTCTCCGTCGAATTCAACGGCTTCCCGTCCTTCAGCCAGGTGATCTTCAACGGTGAATCGCCCTCGCTGACCACGCAGGCCACGTGGATCCGCGCGCCTTTTTGTATATTGGCGGGAAAGCTAAACTGATCGATTTTAGGCGGTACTGAAAATTACAAATCAGGACACATTTTTACGTAATCACGGCCCGTGAAACCAAACAATTTGTTCCTTTCCTCCCCCGTCTATGTACTCCCGGCTTTAGTCGTCGAAGTAGTTTAGCATGGAAACTCGAGGGATCGGGAGAGTATTCTTCTTTCTTTTTTTTTGCAAAATGATCGCGGAATCGTGAACGTGGGTTACGCGATTGAAAGCGGACAAAAGGCGCGCACGCATCGATCGTTATTCGACGCGTTTCGATTGCCAGGTCCCTTTTCTCTTCAGGTATTTCCCGGAGCACGACGACCGGGTTCGATTCGACGCGAACAACGTTTTTCAATGCGTTTCTCTGTCCTCTTATGGAACGATCGTCCTTTCTGTCGCAGCCACGTTATCCTCTCGACTCACGGAATTCAACGACGATTGTAAGCGCGAGTCTGATTATACCTACATATACATATGTACATATACATATACAATCTTGTAGTCGTGTACGTATTCTTTTGTTTAAATACATTCACGATCGGTTTTCGAACGTCCTGCCTGTAAAAGCGTATCAGTCTGATTCGCTACGGAAAAATTGTCGATCTGAAAGGGTTATTAATTTTCGAGAGGAAAAATTGCATCATTGATGCGTCGATACGATTAATTACAAAAATTTGTTTCGCTTGGAATAACAGCAGCGCCGGAGATCAGATAATTGAAAGATGATATGCAAATTGCAGAAACTTATGTAAGAGCGTCAAGTCATTTAGTAACGATCACAGCTGTTACACCGTTTTATCGAGCCTCGACTCATTTACCGACGTTTCCGACTAGACTCAACCTTCAATCTATGCGCACTCCACACACACTCGCGCCACGCATGCCATCCTGTACATACATGCTAATCTACACTTACGAATACAATTTTCAATTATGAGAAAAATGAGTCGAATAGAATTTCATTCAACAAACTGCGGGAACTTTAATTTGCAATTATTCCCAAGCTTGCGAAGTGCGACCAGAAAGCTCTGTTCAGCAAATTCAATCAGAAATTATCATAATAATTTTTCACTGAAATGGAAGATTATGATAGACCTCGGAATATCGTCGATTTTCGGATAAATTTTAAGTAGGCGAAAGATTAGTGTCTCGACGTCGTTTGCATCCCCGAGGGAGTAAGTTCGCGATTACAAAGATAATCGTCGAGCCCCCTTTCGATGTCGAAGAAAAATCCAAGCAGAGCGGATCAGCTCCGGTGACGAGAAGCACTACAGCGTTGCTGTTATTCCAATTTAAGCAGATCGGGACGTCGATCGGAGTAAAACAGACACATAGGGAAATGAGGGAAGAAACTTTACCTTTCACTTCGATGTGTACTGTCTGGGAGTCGCTCCGGTCCTGGTTGTTCTTAGCCGTGCACGTGTACGCACCGTGATCGGTGCTCTTGTCGACGTGGTGCAAGATCAACGTGCCGTTCGAGACGTCCTGGCGACGACTCGTCGGTAGCACTTTTCCATCTGCAGGCAACCAGAGAAAAGAGTTTCCTTCAGTTCGACGAGCCAATTTTCCAAGTGAGACGATTCTTTGTCTCGTTGAGGAGAAAGGACGGAGGGATGAGGCAGGAACGAGCGTACATTGTCGACATTATTATCCTTCGTTGACAAACAATTCACGAATCAAAGAAAAGATTCTGATTTACGTCAGCATCACGCGGATCGTTACACGTGTACTGTCCTTTATTTCATTCAGTTTGAGGAAACATGGATGGAATGTAACAAGGGATCGAGTTACAAATAATTTCAGTTGGAAACTTAAATGAAATTTGTTTGAGAAGATAAGCGAGGAGTTTATTCGATTTTAACTTTACTTATAAATTTACATTTCGTTACAACTTTATTAGTTACTGCTCTGCGGAGAGGAGCATAAGTGAAATAGGAAGTTTTGCCAATCGATGTGGAATAAATTGGTAGATGGTACATGTTAGGTCGGTTTTTTAACGGTAAGTAAACTGGGTAATTTGTGATAGCTTCACGGTGCTCATCGAGTTCATTCGCGGGCGAGCTTGTCGATGGCCCGGTGTGAAATCGTTAAGCGTCGCTCGCGCAGTCGAAGCCTCAGTTCGTTTTGCAGCGATGACTTGAGGGTGTTACTGGTGCGCGTCCATCATCGTGCTACATCGTTCGTAAAATGGCAGGGGCACCGTTTGAAACTTTTACGTGAGTTCGGTTCATCATTACCGGAAAAGAAACGCTCGAACTTGGTCGTACGAATGCGCGGAGCAACGGGACGAGCGAGTTTCCTCCGCTCGACGGAATAAAACCCCGTTCGTTCTACCTCTCCTCGCTGGCTGACGTATATATAGCCGGCGCAGAGGTAAAAAGTTCATTTAAACCGCTCGAAAAAGCGACGACGGTACTTTCAGTTTCTCTGAAAATTCATTCGTCTCCTTGCTGCGCGAGCCAGATTTACGAGAAAACGCTGGACGCGGACGGTAACTTATTTACGGGCTCTTTACGCGCCGCAAATATTTCAATTCGCCCTCCCCCTTAATCTTTATTTTTCATGCTGCAAAAATACGAGAATCAGGAAAAGATGATTTGTCGAAAGTACCTATCTAACAGTAATCAAAATCTTGGAGTAAAGTTTTCTATATGCAAACGCTGGTAAGATTCAAGTCATCTTATATCTGTGCACCGTATTATTTGCGTTCTTCCTTTGCAAATGTATATTTAATGCAAATACTTGTTACAATCGCAGTAAAATTTACTCTTCACGATTAGATACTCAAAAAGAACAGAACGCGTTTCGGATCTTTCGATTCTAAAGTCCTACGGACTGTAGGTCGCGTCACTAACCTTTCTCCCACGTGACGCTCGTGATCGGGAAACCGGCAACCGGGCATTTGATGATGGTGGTTTCGCCGGCTACCGCTGCGTAGGTTCCCATTGGCCGAACGTGGGGCAGGCCGTAAATGTTAAGACGAGCTGAATGGGAGATCCTTGCCATACGGTTCGACGCAGTGCAACGATATTCTCCTCCGTCCTCCACGTGAACTACGCTGATGTTCACGTGCGATATCACGTCTCCGTGCACTGTCACATATTGACCTATCATGAACCTGCAACAATTTCGGGATCCAGAAGCGTCAGGTCTCTGTCAATTTATTGGTTAACGCTGGGAAATTTTATAAATTTAATAAATTATATTCCAAAGTTCAGTAGTGAAAATCTTTTTTGTGTTCGAGCATAATAATAAATGGGATAGAATCTGTTTCCACGAGTAGGGTGCTATTTAATATTTTGTTTGTTCATCGGATCGTGGAAAATCAAAAGGCAAAGCCCATCAAGGGTGACACGTCCCCTCTAACGAAATCATTATCGGCTCAATCACGAGTCACTTGGCACCGAGTAAACCGACCTAGGCGCGGCGATATAAAATAAAGGAGAAAACACACGGGGCGGATGCGTTATTATTAATAGCGTGGAACGCGGCACCGTCGAATCTATCATTTCTAAATCGAGCGACTCTAAAGAGTTTAGACTGAAACCCGGTTGATTGGTAATTTTCCCCTCAATTGGTTCAGAGAATCGAAGCCCGCGGGGTGGTATCCGTTCCCACGGGACCCGCGTTATAACGACGGAGAGCTGGTCTGATTTACCTCCGATCGTAATAGCCGCAGTTTAATAACCGAAAATAATTGTGTACACACCATCCATCGATCTTTGATCGAGGTGTGCGCGCTTCTCCGGAAGCGAGTTTTTTTATTGCTTCAATGCTCTTTTGATCCTTATCACGAACGTTTATCTTCCCACGCGCAACATATTTTTATTTGAAGAAAAATATACAAGAGCATCGTAAATTTTGATCGTTAAGAAAAATGATTGATGACCAAGTGGAGAAAGCTGGAGGTTGTTACCTGTCGTTTTGCGGAAGAGGAAACCCGTCCAGTGCCCAGGAGAAGTGCGGCGTCGGGTTTCCTGTAGCGATGCACTTGAGCGACACCGAAGGACCCGGTTGGATGGTCTGTTCGATGAATTTGTACAGAAGTTGGGGCGCGGCATCTGAAGAGACCACAAAGGCACACACACACACACACACACGCCATTAGAAAAGTATGAAAAAGGTTCTCGATCGTCGAGGAAATCGTCGTGCCTGGCAAAACGTCGACGAGCGTTTTTATAATTATGCAAATGGCAGCGTGGTAATGGGCGTTAAAGCGGGTCGAAGGTGAACGAAAGAGTGGAATAGAACTGTTCTTGCACGTGCCTCGCGCACGTTTCGTTACGTTTTTCTTTTTCTCTTCTCGAAGATAATCCCCGCTCACCGCGCGTTTTTATGGGACGCGGAGGACGTTGACGTAATTTAGTTGGATATTTTGTTCCGGCTTTTTATTTTAACAATTTCACTGCTGAAATCACATTTTTTTCCCTCGCGTTCATCCGACAATTCGACAAAACTGCCCGGATTTCTCCCTTCTCATAGAATCGCTTGCGGTGCAATCGAAAACTAAATGACGTTTCTAGTAACATTACGCCAAATCCGAGCCGACGTGTTTCAATTTTGCCGGACGAATCGATCGCGTCGGAATTTGCCCAGAATCCGTCGAGATTTCGAAATAATTCAATGGTGCGTGGATACATTCTATGAGCAACCAAATGTATGCAGATTACGCACGGGGATTTGGCTAGTTCCAAATCGCAATCACTACGCGTTAGAACGTTCCTATCTCGTTACGTGAAATAACAATAAAATGACAGAAATCCTATAACGTAAACTGTAACGAGCTCTGTTACACACATCTACAGTATACTCCAACTTACATTTCAGCAACAGCTGGACATCGTCTAAAACAAACTCTATGACGTATTAGAATGGGGAGAGCCGGTTCTAACTCGGAAACAGACTCGTGCATGATAGCTAGTTAACAACCAGCGAGCCATATTCTTGTTTCTCTAAACAATTCCAGAAACGATGACGTTACTAATTCCGTTTGGACAAACTCTATTACGCGATTTTAATGCGTCCTTTCTGTTCCGCCAACATTTGAATCTCATTCTGTGAGGCGGCGCGATGATGAGAATCAGTTCGAACTTGAAACCGTTCGGATTTCAAAGTTCGAGTCGTGGATTGGTGGCACGGAGGGTCTGCTAACAACCAGGTAGCTACAGGACGAATATCGGGGCAGGTGCAGCGAGATTTAGGCTAGCCTCCGGGCGTTCGGGGGTCACTCGCGTGCGCGTACCAACGGATCCGACGTACGTACATACACATACGTACATACATACGCTCCGTGGAAATGACCCCGGTTCGCCGCAAGGCGGGGTATTATGCACGCAACATTTACATGACAAGACCCGGTACGCGGGCAGAACTATCGATCTGCGGTTTGACGCCTGAACTCGAGTGCCGCCTAGTGAATTAACCCCAAATTATAGAGCCGACAATAACCGAGCCACACACGGAACCATGGAGCAGGCAGAACGGAGCGAAGCTGCGCCGCGCTGCGTCGCCGCTCCGACCTGTTTGCTCATGGCGTAAATTAGGATGCCGTATTGCCGGATGCCACGCCCCGTTTTGCGGCCCGCTGTATTATTCTGTGCGGGCCCGGCGTCCGTTCCCCTGTCATTTATCCCCGTCGACCAGTTATCGAAAACTTCGCAGCGCGCCCCCAACATTGGCGCGAGTTTCTCGCCTCTGCGCGCGCTCCGAGGTTCATCATGATTTACTATGTATAATGAAAACGAGAGACAATATTTAATTCTACTGTATGTCATCCTTATGATGTATTTGTATAAAAATGCGAATGAATGCGGAATAGAAGAAATAATTGTGAGAAGTGATTGAAGTGTGATTAAATGAAATAATAAAATACTTATCAACAATATACTACATTTATAATTTGATTGCTTTCGTAGTTGAATTGTCTTTCAATAATTTTCGATCGTCACGAAATGAGGGATTTCTATTGGATTTAGTATACCGTACGCGTGTTTGACGAAGTCCAAAGTGGAACGCGCCTTAGTGGTCGGACGCCCGCAGTAGTACGAGTCAGCCATATAGTCGTTATTATATCTTTGTCAAGGAAACGGGAGGTTAATTATCCTTCCTTGCATGACATGAGTTCTGCGTTGCAATAATGCAACCGTTTATGAGATTTCTGCTCAATAATTTCACCAACGACATTGTTTATGTTAAATAAGAGCTTTAAAGAATTATCACATTTATTACGATAATTCTTTTCTGCAAATTCCGAAAATCAACGTAGAGTTTCGAATTTTAATTCGCGTTGTTTGTTGTATGCACGTTTCACAGATGGAAAACAGAGCGCGATGCAACACGAAGCTGTGTGATTAGCCATTGGCTAATTCAATAGGAACACATTATTTACCTTATCGTGATTATCATTCCTGTAAACGTCATAAATAAATGAATGTTTGCCATCACATGTCAAAGAATAAGCATAACCTCTGTTTATCTTTGTCAACCTTCCCCTCGCGCTCTATAGAAACGTGAAATCGGCTTTCGAATTGCGCGGAACGTTTTATTGTTACACACATTTAAAAATAAAACATCACTCACGATCAGAGTGTATATTGACTTACGCTAAAGTCGCGTGAAAAATTTAACGCCGCTCGCTATTTTACAAAATATTTCGCAATTTAGACCGGACGGAATTTCCCGGGGAGTCATTTGGCCCGGTGCCAAAATCGACGGTTTCCTTTCTCTCTAATTCTTTTTTCAACCATATGTGCGTTCCATAAACCGTTCCGTGCTCCCCACTCGATCGAATAAATTGAAAAAAGAGACAGAGAGAGGGTAAGGGTGGGTAAAAACAGTCGTAGTGCATAGAATTTTTTTACATTACGCGCTCGTACGTCTGTTTCTCTCTTTTGAAAATCGGTCTGGGATCGTTACAAAAGTTCGCCGCTTTGATTTCTTCCCTTTGTTACGCGAGAGGATTAGTTCGCTTCCAATTATTTCGAGTTGTACAAAGCGATAGCTATCGGGGACACGAGAGCGAGGAAGAGGAAGCTAGCAGATAGAACGATTTCGATTCGTCTATTTTGTTTGATTTTAGTCTGGGAGAACGCATGAATTATTTAAAAAGCATAGTAGCGATGGTCGATGAAAAGACGGCCAAGCGTACAAAAGGAAGGAACGAGCGAACGAGTCGGAGGGAGAAACGTCGTGACTTATCGGCGGATCGAAAGCGAAAGTTATTAACCGCGGAGAATTGAACGCAGTTTCGCTACCAGTCGAGCCAGAGCGATTGACGAAATTCCGAGTTTTTTCCCCGACGTTTAAAAATTTCCACGGCGTTACGGGTTGACTGAAAAATAGAGTCGGTTCCCGGAGATAAACGAACGCCTGTCTTTTGTCTACTCCTGCACGTCACAGGACATAGTTCAATACTACGAGGGAACAAGAACGTTCGACGAATAAAACGGAACCCTCGTATTCATTAAAATTGTTAGACAGAATGAAAAAACGAACATTAAATTTGCACGAAAAACAATGTTAAATAAGAAATAGGATCAAGTTTAAATTAAAAGTGAAAATGTATCATTCCACAGTTTTAATAAACCCATTTCAGGGTCCGATGCCCCTGAGAAAATATTTGAACAAGGCTTCATATAATTTGAACGTTCCCATGAATTTGAATAAAACCATTTTGAGACAAGCTTTATTAATCCATGCGTCTTTTTCTATATAAACCTTAATCATCTCTTCTCCACAATTTTCCCTACTTTTGAAATATTATTCTCTTACTTCCACTGGTTCGAACAAAGGATATATAAAGCGGCAATTTTTATTAATCAATCTTCTATATCAGCTCTTTTATCATTACTCTCTTACGTTTCATCTTCCCCTCACAATTTTCAAGACCAATCTCCGAGTACCGTTCTCGCGTCTCGAAATGGTAACTGAAACAAGAGGGAGAGAGTGGATGGGGGACAGTAAACGAAGGCATCGTCGGACGGGACATCCAGCTGCTGAGAAATGTCGGCCGATGCTTCAGCCTCGTATACGTGACACTAAGACGGAAATGGTCTGCTCGTTACGTACGTGCACTTAAAGCGGTCGACTGACAGCTTCGTTTAAGGCAATGGATTACGTCACGTGGAAACATCGTCTCTGCGCGGCAGTAGGTTTAAGAATAAAATACGCGGACTGATGAAGGAGCGATAGAATTGGTTTGAAAAAATAAGGAACGTAAGAAGACTTCGTAAGACTGATTGCAGAATCAAAACTATTGTGGAATAATCAGTATCATGATTGTAGCGTTACAGTTTCTTCGAAAAAGTTACTTTACATTCTTGTCGGATAACGCGTTTAAGCGTTTCGTTTTAGCCGAGTTCGTCCATTCGGTTTTTGCGTGAGAATTTCGAACGGACACCGACACTTAACAAACGTTCCCTCCCATTCCTAACGGTTCGTCGGCGACGCGTTTCTTTTAGTCCGTGAGCCGGCGGCAAGCTTCGCCACCTTCGTGACTAAGACAAATGGCATGTATTTATTTTACGGCACGCCAGCCAGTGGATTTCTCCTTTCTCCATTATGCATCGCCCTCATTAAGCATTTTTTTTCCTTCTCTCTCTTCGTTTCGACGCTCCTGCTCGCACTTTTTCTTCCTTCGCCTGGCTTCGTCCTTTACGCACTTTCTTCCACTCGTTCGTCCTCGACTCGCGGTCTTATTTTCCCTTTTCCTTCGCGCCAGACCGAGCTTTTTGTCGCGAAACCCTCCCCGTTTCGCGCGCCGAGAATAGGCGAGTGACCGCGACGCGGACGGATCGAGGTGGAAGCCGATGAAAGAATTCGGTTGCGCGCATTGAACGCGAGACTTCTCAGGCCGTAGATAGAAAGAATACAAGAGGAAGATAACGGGAAGGCTTGGAAATAAGTCGATGAGAGCCAGACGGATGCGACTGAGTGCGCAGGATCGTGTCGGATATAAATTGGATATAAAAACAGACTGCGGATATAAATTCCAGGCGAAGTTCCGAACGAAGCTAAAAGGACGGGAAATTTCATATTTCGTACAATATTGGCCGGCGAACGCGGAGCGATATCGGACCAAGTTTCAATCCCTTCTTTGTTGCCGAAAGCGCCTTCTCCTCGCTCGGGGGTCGAGATTAACGAAGCGTCCAGCGAACTTGCCCGTTAATTAAAAATATTCAACCCCCGAATAACGGGATCAAGCGTCATTGTGATATAGTATTTTTACCGCGTTTAACAGAGTTTACTTCGCGAACGGCCGATAAAAGGCGCGGGGGCAGGTCGCCAAAGTGGTCGTGCGAAAGTTTCGCAATACAGAGAGAAAGAGGGAGAGAGAGATAGAGGGACTGGTTCACTAGCCGGCTGGCTGGCCTTGGTTAACAGTGGCCTCGGTAATAGCTTTAATTTAGCCTTATTATTTTCAGAACTTTTATAAAAGTTCCTCGTGGAAACTCGAGGAACGCGTCGGAAGATGACTGGTTACGAGGCGCTTAGGTACACTAATCCGTCTTAACTCGCGCGTTACAGTTTTAAGTACGTCTTCGTGTTATACGAATTACGTCCGGGGTAAAGAAAGTTATCTGATAACTGAACTCCAGACTAGATGTATTTTCATTGGCCTTAAATTTTTAACTTCCGAAAAGGCAATTTCCCGCGCCAGGGCTGTGCGCAGCGCGGCGTTAAGTACGCGCGGTTCATAAAAACGAAGGAGGGAAAGTTCAGCCACTAAAATAAAACGTAAACTCACCCCCTAGTCGGAGCTCCGCGGTCGCTTGTACCATCTCGTTCATGTTTTTCGCGAAACATTGATACATTCCTTTGTCGTCGCGTACGATCGACGACACTCGCAACGTCGAGCCCTCGTTGCCGCTGATCTTGGTTCTACCGGAGGCTCCTTCTCTCACGGGAAGACCGTCCTTCGTCCAGAAGATCACAGGGATCGGTTGGCCGGTAACGGAACAGTGGAACTCGGCGTCTTTTCCCAGGTCGACGGTGACCTGCAACAGTTATCGATTCCGGGCAACGGGTTAGTCGGCGCACGTTCGCCAATAAATGTCACTTTTAATATCCCGACTGTCCTTAGAGCTTAATATCGTTCCGGAGGAAAGTTGGCCACGATTTCGTAGAGAATCTGCTACCTCGACAGCAGCTGTGTTCTTTCGGACGTGAACATCGATTCTCGTAGCTGCGAAAAGCACAGCCCAACTTTCGATACCAGCTTACGAGGTCTCCCGTCTCACAAAATAATTTCCAATCGGGTTACGCGAACAATTTAACATCTGATAATGCGCGATTTAATTATTGGAAAAATGATGTTGAATAATTGTAATTACATACATCAGGCTGGCTTAGGCGGATTGTTAAATGTATGTATGAGCAAAGCTACACGATAGCATAGTCGACGTTTGTTTAGCGTGAGCATACGCTGTATTAATACCCGTCCCTGGTCTCCTACTCCATTTTGGTAACTTCGACAGAGTATCGACCCGAAACATCCTTTGATGTTTCTACTCTGTTTAAGCTGCGTTGAAATTATGAAAGACACGTACGTTCAAACCGTGTGAGAACAGCTTCGAAAATGTCGATCGTTAAACGCGACGATCGTGGAAAAGAGATCGGCACGCAATCGTTCCGGAACGCCTAGTAGAAAACGCTTAACGTGCTCAGACACAACGGATGGGATGGATTCCAGGCCGACCGAGCGGAGCACGGGCATACCTACCTACCGGCAAATCGAATGTCCTGTTGGGTATTTCGTCGCCCACCTTCGAGAGCTTAATTGCTTCCGGGTCGCGCGGTTATCTCCCTTTGATCAGTTTCCTGGTCCATCTGATTTATCATTAACGAGAATCGTTCTCGCTAAATGGGTTGTGGTGAGCGGTTCAACAGCGCTCTCGCAAAGTACACATCGTGATATGTGTGTGAAATGATAACAAGAACCCTACTTGACTCGATGTTTTCGCTTACTTTGAACTACGAAGAATTAACTGACTCCCAGGAGATCAGTTTTTCACTACTGACGCAATTAAACGGTATTTAAAATTATAATGAAGTCTATTTCGTTTCATTACACATTGAAATGGAAAGAAACCCTGTTGTGGTGAAATATATTTACGTAGTCCCTAATTAATTCTCGCTTATCAATTTTAACGAAAAAAAATAATGTCGAATTAATATGAAATTACATGTGAAATGACTACAGTACGAAAAAACGATTCCGTATTAAAAACTTTTTTAAACGCTCGCCACGAGACGGCATCGACCGGCGCAAGTGGAAAAGACTCGACCTAGTCAGACACGGCGAACCTGTGATGCATGTATCACGGAACGCGGTTGAATGGAGTGGCCTACTGGTATTTCCATATGCACCTTCAGCTGCTTAATTGATTACCGATCGCGGGGCATCGGTCTTTGATCTCGCCGGGGAATCCGTCTTATGTATTATTGAAGAGGTTAGTTCGTACGGTTGCGTGTAGCGATGTATACATTCATGTACATCCATGACAATTCTGCGTGGCCTGATTACCGCTGGTACAGCATCGACAGATGCACCTACGCGAATATCGATGCACATACATACATCATAGTTACGGTCTGTACTCTGTACACTTTGTCCTTGGGTTCCTCGTAACGCGATCTCTCGTCGTGCCCTCCGGTCGTGCATTTCGAAATCGTTTCGAGCATCAAAGGATCGAGAAAGGAATTTCACTGGCTTATATAATACGTCGAGTGTGCATCGATTGGGAAAAAAGAAGGAATTTATCTATCATGAACGGAAGAGCCTTAATACGTTCGACTAAAAATAATCCGGAAGGACGGGTCAGTGGCTTCAACCACTTTGCGTCATAAATAACCGACGACGTTTTCATTTTGGTTTCGCTAATGCAACCCAAACAGAGCCTTCTTACGAAGCGGGTCCAAGGGCGAAGGAATTTGACGAGCATCGTGTGAATAGCGAATCGAACCATAAGGACGGCCATTAAATATTGTCGAGAGGATCGGGCAAGTTTCGCTCACGGCTAGCTCCTTTTGTTCCACGACCCCTGAAGGAAACTTTCTTTCAAACCGAATACCGGTTTAAATATCCTTTGATACGGTATTCAAGCAGCCGGAGGTTGGAATGGGAAATAAGATGCGCAAGGACGGCGTCTTTAAAGGCGACCGAACGAGGTGGCTCGAAAGGAGTGTAAGAAAAAAAGGACAAAACTTGGGAGGCGTTGAGTTGCACCTTTCCGGGCCCCTTTGTCTCCGACGTTCCTGCTCCTTTTTCACGCAGCAGGATGGCATTATTAAGACAGTCAGTCATGCGTTTACGTTGTCGATATGAGCTCCGCGAAAGCGCGACGCGTGAGCATCCGGTTGAATGAAAACAGCGAATAAAGAGAATTATTATGAGAATGTTTAGAAATGTGCGAGCAAATAATAATAAGACCAGCGAAATGTGCAGAGGTATTGCACATGTATAGATGCACAGCGTGCAGTAAATTGGGTCAGAATTTTCTCAATTGGTTGTTCTCGCAAAAACACATCACCGAACGAACGTTCCATAGAATTAATCGAATGAAATGCGAAAGCTATATGAATGGAAGATCTGTAATGTGCGAGAACCAAATAAACCGACCCACGCTGCGCTGGCTTATCTTCTTTTAGTCTACGGTCGAGTCCCGTCTTGTCGAGGAAAAGATTTCTCGATCGGATCGAAACGCCGCCGTCTGGTACGATAATATAAACCTCTTATTTCTTATATCGATTTACAAAGCGGCAACCTGTCTCGCTTCTTCGACGGATTACAGGCAGCGAAAATTTATTACGCGGAAGCTCGAATTGAAAAGCGCCCGTGATGGTGCTTTTAATAAAGTGACGACAAAGTCCGTCGCGTTAATGGAAGGAGGCGTTGCCCGACGAATGGCAGCCAATATATGAGAGAGAACCCGTCCGCAATAAGCGTTTCTTTGCTGATGACTGCAGAAGTTATGCGAGAACCTTCCGGCGAATGAATGCTATTTCATCGACTCGATGGTAGTCCCTGCACCCTTCTCTGTTCCCTTATCCACCGGGATACGGACCGTTCGCCAATTCCCAGTCTCCCATGGATTCACAGGCTATTGCCCACAGATGACCGAGCGTTCTTGAATTGCGACACGTTATAAACCATAATTTATTTTCCGTTTCGACGAAAATTGGAGTTTATAATTTCATCATGGAACGCTCCATTGTTTTTCACAGTAGATGTGCAAATTGGACCTAACTTTGACCCCTGTGTAATCGTGCAACGATTCGCTCGCAATTCGAGAATTTTCACCGAAAATCGGTTCGTCGATAATAAAACGAGACCAAAAGAGAGGGAGGTGGAACAGCAGTGAATTAACGGGTTGCCACCCCTTTGACATTTCGTTTCGAACGTTATTAATTATACCGCCTATGCACAGGCAATCGACGCCCCGGTTAATACGCTTACAGTGTATCCCGCGGGTGAAACTCGAAATCCCTGACGTGCGCGCAGCGATTGGTTGTTTTGACGGTATATACGATTTGTTGCCTTGCATCAGTATCGCGGGCTCCCGTATTTTCGTGATATCCATCGAACCCTCGAAGCGATTCGGTAGTTTTCTAGTAGTAACGAGTCGCATGTGGACGCAGATATGTATATGTACATTCGGTGTCCGTGATCACTGCCACGCCTGTGATCGATATCGCGGAAGCTCCGCCGGTTCTTTCTTTTATCATCGACACAATAGTCGCGTTCATCGTCCCGGGAAACATCGAACACAATTAATGGAGCTTGTTAAACATCAAAGGAACTAGCAGGGACGTCGCGTTGGGTCGGAGGACGGCCCCTGTACCGAGCTACTAATTAACGGAAGTTAATACTAATGAATGGCAACATCTCATTCAAGACGAGCGAAGCATGTAGCTCGTTATTCCTTTCGTCCCGTATACACGCTACGACATTTTCAAGATTTATCCGCATCCTTCCCGGGATATCTGGCCTGTCTTTATCTACCCCTGGGTATCGTGTTTACCCCGACGCGATGCTCAATTATCCACATCGACGGAAATTAGTCGGCAACAAGCTCTAACCTTCCCGTTCGGCGAATTTATCCGCGCTCGTTCGCGAAACTCGCGTGTACCGCTCGAGAGAACCTTCAGCTAAAAGGAACGAGAATACGTCTTGTCGGCTTAACAAAGTCGCGGAGCAACGAACCGGAATTGCGCCGAGTGGGAGGACGCCGGAGGTAGTTTGCAGATCTGCTGGAAATAGAATCGACGCTCATTGAGAAGCCTTAGTCTCCCGTCGAAAGGAAAGAAAGGGAGACGGGAAGCAGGAACGAAAAAGCCGAGGGTAAGAGGAAGTAATCCACGATGGCTCTCGAGTTGTTTACGAAATAGAATAAAGAGAAGCTAACCTGTTGAGGTATCAGTCGGATGAAAGAGAAGCTACTTATTATTGAGAACTGTGGCTCGTTCGCAGAGAAAATCTGTTGCGTGCCACGTCGTTCTGGAATTTATTTCCGGACAGCGACGCGACGCGAGGCCAGCTTCTTCCCCTGACTCTCGAAAACGGGTGGTCGTTCGGGCATCTGCGGGATGGTAAAAAGGTGTCGCGTCGCGCCGACGGACGAAGGAATATCGGGACGCCTTGGGATTTCACGAAGGATCGGGATTATCCGGCGGAGAGAGTGTAACAGGAAGCCGACGACCAAATCGTTTCGGAAATCCAATCGATACCGCATAGAATGCTGTTAACCTGTTGAGGGGTTAATATTTTTCGACGATCCTAGGAAATTTCTTTGAGCGATTTAACACGCCGCGGAGATGCATTGAAGTGGTAATATTATTCGATCGGCGAGAAAAAGATACGAACCTGTTGAGTCTTAAACCAACGAAACCATTTGTCTTGCGTGACTTGTAGATATAAGAAACTGATTCGGTTAGATTGTGCACGCGCGATCGTATATCATAATCAGTATCACGATTCGATAAATCGAAATTTATTAAGGAGCCAATTGAATGAACGGTTGAGAGAAAGATTACGGAAAGATGAGAGGTGCTCGAAGGTGGATCGAGCCGAAGATCAAAGGAGAGTAGCGGAAACTAACCTGTTGAGGTACCAGGTGGATGGAGAGACTGCTTATAATGGAGACCTCTAGTTCGACCATCTCGGAACCGGCCGTATTGTTGGCGTGACAGACATATCGGCCAGCGTCCTCGGGCCGAGCTGATTGTAGCACTAACACGCCCGCTCTCGCGTAGATCCTTTCTGAATTGAAGATCATCGCCGTGCCCGTCACGGACTCGCGAAACCATAGATACATGGGCGGCGGTATACCCTGGGAAATGCAGGATAGGACGATCGTCTCCCCCGTGCGGATAGGCGCTGGGCTCACTCGTTCGTTGAATCTTGGCGGCACCGGGCTGTGAGGATCTGAAAATGAAGAAAATTTTCTTCAATCCCCGGCACGCGAATAAGCTCCTGCAAATCTTCGCATTTAAATATATTCAAATCTGTCAAATTTGAATATTCAAATACGAGAAATTAAACGTTTTTAAAATATTCAAATTTAAAAGGCTGTCAGCATTCAAACGGTTGAAAGGAGCACTTGTCCTAAGAGTATTTCCGTATGTACTTGACATTTTTGGCTGGGATTTTGAAGAATATCGTCGAATGCCCGCAGTCCTTCAAGACTCTTGCTGCGGTTGTTAAGAAGCGGTGGAATATTTCAAGAACTCTTTGTTCTGGAATCGTTTCGGGCTTTAATTATTTTTGTTGAATCCACAGACTGCAGTTCTTAAGAATAATTAATAGAATGTGTTGCACGGGTGTAAAAACTTTTCTGTATCAAACATTTGGAAACGTTTTGGCAGGAATGAAACGAGTTCATCGATTTACTACGTTCAAATCTAGTTCCCGCGGTAAAAAATTGAGTGAACAATCCCGGCGTTTCCAATGAAACGTTTCGATTTAAATCCTTTACCAAAAACTCGAACCGGCGTGAAATCAGTTCGCGGCCAGTCGGCTAGAATTTCTGTTCGTGGAACGTGGGGAAATGGCAAAAGTTCGTCCCGGAAAGTTCGCAGCCGATGTGTTATTTCAAGGTTCGGATCAACTTTCGCGCTCTTGATTCGTTCGTTGCGTTAAAAGGGAACACACTCGAGGCGTTTCAGAGGGAATTTCCAAGAATGGAGCCAATGAATCGTAACGATGATAAAAAAAAAAGAAGACAGAAGCAGAGATAAAAAGGAAAAGTAAAGGTAAGGCGGTCGACTCCGCGGGAATGGATTCCCTTTCTTTCATCAATTTCTCTCGGCTGTCTCCCACTTGATACCGTGAAATGCATTTTGAATCTCTTGGACGATTCACGAGCTAGAAAGAAATCTCCGTGGACTTGTTGAAAAAGACAAAGATCCGGGGTATCAATTTTTCACGGGCCACGAAAGACCTACCTTTTGTCCCTGTTACGTATTATACGAGTTAGTGTGCTCGACAAATTTACATTTATTTCCTTCCACTCCGCCGTTTATTCTACATTTTCCACATTACTTCGCCGCTTAATTACACGCGGCCGAACAATTCGTGTTCGCGGACGCATATGAAAAGTCCTTCATTGTTATAAATTTGTATTAAATTCCACCATTTGTTTTGCAAAATATAAACTCTATCGACGGTAGTTGTCCTTCAGACTCGTTGGAATTCCAGCGCCCATGTACATTAGACCTGTTTTGCGATATTTCATTATTTTATAATTTTCCGTCCGTGTCGTATCACTTACTGAACGTTCTATGTGTCGTTCCACAATTAAAATAGATCGTCGTTAATAACTTGATTTGAACGCAGGAGGACCGAAGTTGTATCAAATATTTTAGATAGTAATACGCGAATCTGTGTTCCGATCGATGGAAATCGCAAATCCCTGGTCGCGACAAAGTCAATGGACATTTTGCTCCGGCGAATAGCGTACGGTTTAAACAACAAGGGGTTGTTTGTTCAACGATTAAGATCTCGCCACGCCTGAGCTTTTTACGACTGCAGTATTTTATAATGGCACGCTCGCTTTGTCTGCTCGGCGTTATTATTGTAATTTAAGCTGATGGCGTATTGATCGTCGCACCCCTCTATCTCGCTCACCCTTCGTTTCGCCCTGCCTCCCTCTGTCACTCTGTGTACCACCGTCCCTCTCTCATACTCTCTGGCATTCTCGCCGTCTCTTTTCATCTCGGGCCGCGTGCTATCGCCCCCTCTTTCTCTCGTTCGCGGCAGTGTGCAATTCCAGTTGCCATATTCCAGCAACGCCCCCGCCACCACACCCTTGTTCGTACTCCCGCGCTCCCAGTTGCACCGGCCTCGTGCATATGCACGCTCAAAACTTTTTATGCCATTTACATCCGACTTACGCCTCAACGTCAGCGTTGTTCGCGTTGATGTTGACCGTCGCGAGCGTGCGGAAAAAAGGAAGAACGAGAAAACGAGGGAAGAAGGATGGGGGGAGGGGGACTTTGACGATCGATCAAATCGAAAAAAAAGACGAGAAAGAAATTCGCTCGGCATCGATTGCTTCGGTGACGAGTGGCTCATTCACGCGTTAATAATTTCTTCCTACAACCACCCACCCCCTATCCACAGTATTCTCCTGGTTACGTCGACGCTACGCGGCTCCACGTGCCTCGTTCTTACTTCCAGATCGTTGGATCCTTGTCGCTTAAATAGCTGATCCGATGGATTGTCAGTCAACCCTTCTATCCGTTGGGTAAAATATTCTCCGCGTCTGCGCGGAAAAGTGAACGACCTTGGCGCAACTTAAAAAGTAGATCAAAAGTGACGAGAACATTATTGGGCAGGGTTGTAATTATTGAGTTTATTTTATTAGCGCGCGCGGAGGAAATGGTTTTTAATCAAATCGATTTCCGTTCAATTTCAAATAATTACACGGTGGGTATCTAAATTCGAAATGGCAAAGATACAAGATTTCCATGATCATGCCAAATATTTTCCACGAAATATTTATAGAACGTTGTAATTTGAAATGGTATGTGATAAAATCATTTGCCAACGAAATGCTCTTACTGAAGGGGCCGCGGCCTTGAAGGGTAAACAAGGGAGAGAAGTTTAATTAAAAGCTGCAGCGGCAAATGATTTCCAAGCATACAAACAGGTCGGTATCGATGGACAGAAGACGTGCTGCGACACGATGTTTAAGCGGACAGACAGTATGCTCAAAGGAACATTCTGATATCCTTTGAACCATCGACTACGTAATCCGAAGGCTCGATTCTCGAGCCGGGGGCACGTGAGACAGGCGCGGGGGAGAAGGGAGACGGGAAGGGTACGCGCGGCGAGGAGAAAAACGGGTTTGAAGGGAGCGGAAACCGCGGCGGAACGATGTCCAATTAAACCTTTCGAGCCGTCGACTCCAATTAAGACTCTATTAAATATACACCGGCCGTGTGTATCGTTGGCAAAGCGAATTTCAAATGGCGCCCGTGATCTTTCTCATGTATTTACCTGGAACAAGCAACTTCACCGTGATAAAGTTGCCACTAATTAGCCGTACAATGTGTCTCTTGCCAGTCGTCGTTGCCTAGACGACTCAAGCGTGCGTTTTCGCGTTAACGTTTGCCTCTTTTCCGTCGGGGCGCGGAATTCTTGCACCTTTTCCCCCTCCACGGTGTATCGTTAGTCAGGACTGTGCTACAGTACCGGAACCCCTCGAGAGCACCGATTCTGGTCTAAACGATTCGTTAAACGAGCGTGTAAAGCGTTAGTATTTTGTTTGGAAGCCCAGAGTTAATCTGGAAAGTGGTATTTCCCGGTGTTAACTATTACTTTGGCAAATGTCGGCGCGATAAAGGGATGGAAGGTGAGGGAAACTACACGATGAATCCACGAGGAGAGGACTGGCATTAGACGGCGAGAGGTGTAACGTGTACGTCGACGCCAAAGACTCGAAACTTGCTCACCGCGAAGATCCGAGTCGAAAGGGCGACGAGTTTGTACGAGATGAAGCGGGGGAATCGTTGGATCGTTCAGGCTTCATTAATTAGTCGGCAAGTCGAGTTTCTGTATTAATTATAGCTATATTACCGCCAACCGTATTACGTCGTTGACTAATTACGTCATCGAAGCGGATGTGGGTCCGGGCGGCGCGCGGCGAGGCGCGGCCTCTCGAAACCGATGGAGCACATATGTAATTTAATGCCAGCCGTTGATTGCTTCAGAATTCAGGTCACAACGCGCGATACCCGGTCGCAATTTGCGCGCAAGACGTACACGTGTTTCCGTGCGTATCGCCCGGCCGCAATTCCGGATAATTATATCTCTGATTTATACGGGCTGATAAGGGTACGCAGGTAGGAAGGGGACAGGGAACGCGCCATCTAACTCGTTTCACCTCCTGCCTCCATCGCCGTCACGCCCCGCCAAAATTACCAGATATCGGAGACGGGACGGCCGCGGGGAACGCACTCGAACAAAGCTGTAACTCAACGGGAATATTAGATTAGAAGGCTCTCGCCGGAAATGAAGATTTATCGTGAATGCCGAGTGGAAGTTACCCCGCGATACCATCTCGTCTTGCTTTTGCGGATGTTCTGAAAGCCGCAAGCTTCTCGGAAACGGGCGACAGACAGTGATTTTTCTCGACTGCACTACCGGAACGTAGTGCCAGACATAAATAAGTGCTGAAATCTTTAATCTCTTACAACTAGTTTTTAATGTACAGTCGTTGAATTCCAAACGACAATCATTACTGTTATTATTGTCCTCGGAACGAAACCTTACGGGTGTTTATTAGGCTTTGAAGAAATTTAAGAACCACCTCAAAAACGTCGCGAGGGGCTGGGAACACCGCAAAGGCTGAAGGAAATCCAAAGCTACTCAAGAAGCGAGAGAATCCAATGGCACTCTAAGAATTTTGCACGACTTGGATGACCCTGCTGTGCCAAAAAGTTTACGCGCAAAGGACCCACACTTCTAGTTTATTGCACGACGGATGATTATTAAATTATAATTATGCCGCTGAAGTTAATGCTAATTCTTTATCAGCACAAATGTTGTCAATTACAATCTATAATCCAAAGGATTGCCACTATCTTGATGAAAAGGAGAGTCTGGTTATTCTCGGAGAACACGTGTCTACGTTCTTATAAAAGCTGCTTAACGCCTAATCCCGATCGCGCGACGACATACTTTACTACGCGTGAACCGTTTCACCGGCGAAAGAATCACAGATTAAGCTACTTCGGCCTCGGGCTTAAAGCGATTTTCAACTACCGTTGGAACGTCCCTTCAACACGGATCACTTCAAGAATCGTTTCTTTGCTGTTCCTGCGTTTGAACTTTACTTCTTACCGCGCGGCGATTCCGATCGTTCGTCGGTGAAGATTTACGCGTACGGAAAGCGCCTCGCGACGCGGCGAGCAAAAGCTCCT